ATGAGTTGGGGGAAAAAAAGTGATCACAATTACTCAGTTTTAATATTTTCATGGAATTTTCCCCTAATAATGGCAATCAAGTCTCCGTCCCTGACTTTCGCTTGGCTGATTTCACAGGACTGAAAAAATTACTTAGGTGGGCTAAATGGAATGACCTGACTAAGGGTCAGGTAGGTGGTGATGGTTGCCGATATGATGCTTTCCAGGCATAGTTCTAGCTGCTCAGTCAAATTATGTTCCAAATAGGGAAATCAGATCAAACAAAAATGATCCTAAATGGATGAACAATAGATTAAAATATCTGATTGGTCAAAAGAGAGGCATATATAGGCAAATCAAAAGAGGAGAGGGGCAATTAAGAAATCGATATATTCAGTTAAAGAGAGAAATAAAAAAGGGAATTAGAAAAGCAAAAAGAGATTATGAGGTTAAAGTTGCAAGAGAATCGAAGACTAACCCAAAAGGATTCTTTCAGGTATACAGAAGTAAGATCAGGACAAGATAGGCCCACTCAAAAGTTCCTCGGGTCAGCTCACTGACAGTGATAAGGAAATGTGTAGAATTTTAACACATACTTCCTCTCAGTTTTTTACACAGGAGGATACCAGCGATATTCCAGTAATGATAAATTATGTAGAGCAGGACGATAATAAACTGTGCACGATTAGGGTCACAAGTGACATGGTCCTTAGGCAAATAGATAATTAAAACCTAATAAATCCCCAGGCCCTGATGAACTGTATGCAAGGGTTCTAAAGGAATGTAAAGAGGAGCTTAGCACACCTTTGGCTAATCTTTTCAACATATCACTACAAACTGGATTGGTGCCAGATAAGTGGAAAATGGCAAATGTGATACTATTTTCAAAATAGGTGACAGGTCCTTAGCTTCGAACTATAGACCAATAAGCCTAACCTCCATAGTGGGAAAATTTATGGAATCAATAATTGCCGAGGCAGTTCGTAGCCACCTTGAAAGCATAAATTAATCAACGAATCTCAGCATGGTTTTACAAAAGGGCGTTCCTGCCTTACGAATTTATTAACTTTTTTCACTAAGGTATTTGAGGAGGTAGATCATGGTAATGATTATGATATTGTGTATATGGACTTCAGTAAGGCTTTTGACAGGGTCCCCACATCAGAGACTATTGAGGAAAATTAAAGCACATGAATAGGAGGAGATTTTTTTTCCTGGATAGAGGCATGGTTGACAAATAGGCAGCAGAGAGTTTGCATAAATGGGGGAGAATCAGAGTGGGGAAGCGTTACGAGCGGTGTTCCACAGGGGTCAGTGTTGGGCCCCCTGCTGTTCACAATCTACATAAATGACATAGATGAGGGCATAAAGAGCGACATCGCAAGTTTGCCGATGACACCAAATAGGCCATCGAATTCATTCTGACGAGGACATTCGAGCACTCCAGGAAGATTTGAATAGACTGATGCAGTGGTCGGAGAAGTGGCAAATGCAGTTTAATTAGACAAATGCAAAGTTCTAAATGTTGGAGGACAATAACCAATGCCACATATAAACTAAATAATGTAGATCTTAATAATTACGGATTGCGAAAAAGATTTAGGAGTTCTGTTAGCAGTAATCTGAAACCAAGACAACAGTGCATAGGTGTTCGCAATAAAGCTAATAGAATCCTTGGCTTCATATCAAGAAGCATAAATAATAGGAGTCCTCAGGTTGTTCTTCAACTCTATACATCCTTGGTTAGGCCTCATTTAGATTTATGCTGCACGTTTTGGTCACCGTATTACAGGATGGATATAAAATTCTCTGGAAAAATGTACAAAGGAGGATGGCAAAGTTGATCCCATGTATCAGAAACCTTCCTATGAGGATAGACTAAAGGCCCTAAATCTGCACTCTCTAGAAAGACGTAGAATTGGGGGGATATGATTGAGGTGTATAAATGGAAGACGGGAATAAATAAAGGGGATGTAAATAGTGTGCTGAAAATAATCTAGCCTAGACAGGACTCGCAGCAATGTTTTTAAGTTGGAAAAATTCAGATTCAAAGGAAGGATATAGGAAAGTACTGGTTTGGTAATAGAGTTGTGGATGAGTTGGGAAAAAAACTCCCGGTACAGTTATAGGGCCAGAACGTTGTGTAGCTTTAAAAATAGGTTGGATAAATACATGAGTGGATGTGAGTGGGTGTGAGTTGGACCTGATAGCTTGTGCTACCAGGTCGGTTGCCGTGTTCCTCCCTTAAGTCAATGTGACCTGACCTGACTAGGTTGGGTGCATTCTCTTAAGCCGGTAGGAGACTTGGACCTGCCTCGCATGGGCCAGTAGGCCTTCTGCAGTGTTCCTTCGTTCTTATGCTCTTATGTTCTTATGTAAGAGTAGTGATGAGTGCAGATTAGCACTGCACATCTACTCTTCTATCTGCACGTTGGCTTGCAGCTTCGTTTTTCACCATGTGTACACGATGAAGAAGGAGTTAAGTACTTCACTGATACATCGGACGAAGTCAAGTGAGAAAGCTTCCAAATGTTTTCCACCATCCTTCCATTATTTCCTAACGTGAACGCTGAAAAACCTGTGGCGCATCCTTGGCTTGTTAGGTATCCTGGAAGGCTTGTTAGGTATTCTGGAAAGGGTACCTTCTAGACGATTGATTTTTTTTTCTAATTCTTCTTCCAACTTTTTGACTTTATTTCACTCATAACTCGAGAACGCCTAATATGATCGGGTTCAAATTTCCAACACCTGTGTACTGTACAGAGGGTCAAAAATGACTGAATCTATTCCCATGTTCCTGGAAATCCTTGGATAACTTTCAAAATCTTCAGTTGCGGAGCTTAATATGTTGAAAAAAAAAGTGCAAACAAATTCACCGATAATGGAGAGTGAAATTCACATGTCAGAAGCAAATTTAATCATTTTATGTGAAAAATGTGAAATACTTATTTTCGTTAAATCACTCTAAATAACACTGCTTACTTTTGAACGGCTTCAACATTTAGTGGCACTGATATTAACGACGGAATCGTTAGTATCAGTGCCATTAGGCCAGTAAGGCGTAGAATTTGAGGGGATTTGATTGAGGTGTATAAATGGAAAATAAGAATAAATAAAGGGAATGTAAATAGCGTGCTAAAAATATTTAGCCTAGGCAGGACTCGTAGCAATGGTTTTAAGTTGGAAATATTCAGATTTAGAAAGGGTAAAGGAAAGCACTGGTTTGGTAATAGTTGTGGATGAGTTGAACAAACTCCCGAGTACCGTCATAGAAGCTAAGACGTTGTGTGGTTTTAAAAGTAGGTTGGATAAATACACGAGTGGATGTGTGTGAGTTGGACCTGACTTGCTTGTGCTAATAGGTCTGATGCCGTGTCCCTTCCTTACGTGGATGTGACCTAAGCTGACTAGATGGGTCATTGGTTTAAGCCGGGAGGTGACATGGACTGACCTGGCATGGGCCAGTAGGCTTGC